TCTCTCTCTCTCTTCATCGTTGTCTTCTGTGCAGGTACACGGCACCTCACTCCGCAACAGAGCTATGGCGGATTCTTCTTGCTTCGGTGCACCTCAGCTATGGCGCCCACTGGCGCACGTCTTCTTCCCTGCTGGCAACGGCGAGGGCGCGTGGGGTAACGGGAACCAGCTCTGATACCAATGCAATCAGACTCGCTTTCACTTCCACTTCACATACATACGCAAACAGGTGACGAGTCACACTGGCGCAGGGCGCCCACTCAGAGCTCAGAGATATGGACAACAAGAACACAGTTTAGATGCAAGTTCACTTCAATAGGCTATGGCGCAACAGCGCCTCGACATCCAACTCTCGTCTCCACATTCAACACCACTGTTCTCACGCCCTCAACTCTCCTCAACTCTTGATCACACTGAATACACCCACACACACACTCAGATTCTATCTCCCTCCTACAGTGGCTATGGCCGCAGTAACACTACTGGCTATGGCTACACTCTCTCTTCAGCGCACTTCGACTTCAGGCAACCTGCAGACCACCTTCGCACAAGACGCTGTAGCAGCGCTTCCGCATGGCTTACGCAGCGAATCAATGAATGGCTGGGGCGCTGCCTCTTGATTTATACTTCTGTAACTCGTCGGTCTGCCCCTTTTCCAGCCCCTTGGTGTACACAGTCCCACACGGTACTTGCTTGACTGGACCCTGACTGACTGGGACCGGTACCGCCGACTGCATGGGTTTGCACTGGCAACTCGATGCAGTCGCACTGCCAACGTAGTGCCGTTGGGCTCACCACTTGCCCACTTGCCTCTGACTAAAACGTGAGACACTTCGAAAGGCCACTTCCGGACCTTCCGGAAGTCTGTGGATTTGGCGTTTCGGGAACTGTAGCAGCTACGACCTTGACCTTTCAGGACTGTAGCAGCTACGACCTTTTCCTTTCAAAGCATCTACAGCCACGACCTCTACAGAGCTGTGACTCCTAATCGACAGACCTACAGATCAAACCCCTACCGCTACACAGGCCTACGACAGACGACAAACAGCTACCAAAACACAGATCACGGGTTCAAACACTCAGGGGTCCACTTGATGCTGTACATGGGCAAAGTGAGGTCTGGGGATTGAACTCTAGGGCCCGCATCCGTGACTGCAGAAATGTGAAAACCGTTTCAATTGATGTAGACCTGAAGTAATCGCGCATTAGATGTATTGTTCTCACTGTGGATTTTATGGGATATGCAGAAATAAGTTTGCAGCCTGATGAACTCGGGTAAATTATAATTCTGAAATACCTGAGGCTGGTCAGTTGATGATGATACCTCAAGGCCGTCGCCCTTTTTGAAAAAAGGCTAATCAACTGTTATTATTGTGTGACTTGTTGCAGGACGATGAATGGAGACAAGCAATCACTGCTGCAGCGTCTGGGTGTATGGCAGCCCTCTCTGTGGAGAGATATTTGACGAGAACCAACTTGTTGGTAGAGTTCCATCAGGTTCGTTCATGTCTGTTTCCGCTGACGCTTGTTTAACCACTTTGCGACCGTGACAGTCACTTACTTTTAACTCTCTTGAGCTGCTGTAGACTCTGATTTAACGTGAGTCGAGTGCTTCTTATCGTCTTCTCTCTGCGTTAGGTTGCAATTTAGCATCTCACTTGGAATCCCTACTCGGCTGCTAAGGGTACACCCTTCTCGAATGAAATGCTATCAAATATGAGTGAAGCTAACTGCATAGGATCCTGCTGGTTGGGCCAAAGGGTACTGGCACCGCTTGAGAGAAAGCAGTATGTCGCCACCTTATGCCACTTCTAGGAAATCCTGCAATGTCAGAGAAGAGCACTGTAGTGTTGCTCTCACTGTTTGGTGGCCAAAAACTCGCTGCACAATTGTGATCAAATGCCCTCCAGTTGTCAGCAGATTGCGTAAGTCCTTGCCTTTGTGTTTGTGCCCTTGTTCCTCTCTTGTGGGCCATGTTTTGGGTTTTCATTGGGTTTCAGAATTGTCTTCTGATGGGTGGTTTCGGTGCTTCCTCCTTTGGTACCCCTGTGCGATAGGCAGTAAAGCAACTTCACTGCTTGAAGATGATATTGTCACAAGTGGCTGTGAGCATTTCTCAGTACCATGTTTACCCGAATAATACTCTCGGTCATTATCATGGTAACCGCCCGGACGTCCGGACCGGGTTCCAGACAGTCCGGTGTCCGGTGTCCAGTGTCTGGTGTCCGGTCCCCATGTCCGGATGGAGGCCCCTGGGGCAAAAATCAAAACAAAAAATGGGGCGGCCCAGGACGTTTGTCGGGTCCTAGCCGCCCCTCAAAAAATAACGGGGTGATTTTTAAGTGTCATTTCACCCCACCTTTCATGGCCTAGAGGTCCAGACACAAGACACTGCAGGTTTTGAGGTGGCGGGTTTCGCGCAGGCCGGAGCAATTTCAAAGCGACCGTTTTGACGTGGCGCCTGCCGCTGCTGCCCGTTGGGGAGAGAGAGAGAGAGAGAGAGAGAGAGAGAGAGCACTGACAGTGCTGCCAGTCTGAAGACTCTGACGTTCTGAATTGAACTGCAAAGTTTGAACTTTGAAGTTATATGTGAAGATATGAACTTGAATTACTAAATCCAAAGTTCAGAGTTCAAAGTTAATCATACTTTTTTCAAAAACAAATTCTCTGTTTCTTTAGTCTTGTGCCTGCTTTGCACTGTTTGCAACTCTGCATGTCTGCTAGTTAAATGTGCAAGTTGATTTGCTTCAAGACACGTGCTCTGCTGCCTGAACTACAGAGTGCAAAGCAGGTAAGTGCCTGCCAACACCCCCACCCAACCCCACCCCACCCCTGTTTTTTTTGTTTTCTGTTTTCTGTTTTTTTTTTTTTTTTTTTTTTTTGGGTTTTTGGATTCGACGAAGCCTCAAATTTTTAGAACTCCAAAGGTGGAAGGGGGGGAAGTAGCTGTCAAGAGGATTTTGACGAAGTCTCAATTTCTGTTTTCTGTTTTTTTTTTTTTTTTTTTTTTTTGGGTCCGGACATTTTTGCACCCTGGGGACCGGTCTGGACTGTCCGGTGTCCGGTGATGTCCGGATCACCGGGCAGTCCGGACCAGTCCAGACACTGGTCTGGAAGACAGTCCGGAAGTGTCCGGTGTCCGGGTCCGGGGTTACCATGGTCATTATAGCTGTATTTTGGTGAAACTTTCAGTCTAGATACCACTATAATGACTGGGCGTTCTATTCAGGTGAAGATGGTAGGGGCAGCTGATTGGTCTATGGTTAAAACCCCTTTACTAGGTCAACTGTAATGGTTAAGACCTGTTTTAACCCAAGGCTTGTCGAGCTATGGTTAAGACCCATTATTAACTCGGTCCTGATTAGCAGGTTGACCCCGACAAGAACGTAGACAGTTGCTGCTAGGAGATGACATTTACAGATGTGACGATGGTAGGGGCAGCTGATTGGTCTATGTTAAAAACCCCTTTACAGGGTCAAGCTGTAAATGGTTATAGCCTGTTTTATCCTGCGCTTAAGGCCTCTTGACCTATAGACGTAATTTACAGGTTGACTTTGACAAGAATGCTGCTAGGAGAATTATTCTGCTGAGGTTTGGAAATGTACCTGGATGTGTAGATGGGCAGTTGCATGGTCTGCAGCTTGCCACGGGAATACATAGGTGGTTACTAACTTTACTCTGACCGTGCTAATTGTGCTCTTTCCGACAGATGCGGCCTATTAATGGATGCCCTTCATCCCTTGTTATTTTGCAGGATTGCAGTGTTTCATTTCACCTGGCATTTTGTAAGGCAAGGTGCAACTGACACTCTGCGTTTTCCGTTTGTCAACTGTTTCTGCGGTTTTGTAACTGGTGGAAAATGTCAACTTACAGAAAGAGGAACAAGTGGTGAAGAAGGAGCTATCCCCGCAAGATGTTGAAATGGGATTCGACATCACTGCCACAAAGCACAAAGGACAGGTGAGTTTGTGTGGTAACGATGATACCGCTGTAGCAGTCGAGTCTCCTGACCGCTGGATTCCCCCAAGTCTTCTGAATGTGAAAGCATTCAAAACAACCATTGATGTTACTGTAGTGAAGCGTGTACAATGATGCCAGTATTTGTTCTTTGTGGCAACAGTTTTATGAGAAAGGGTTTTAACTTTTAACTTCAAACTTCAACTTTTGCGAGGATTTTACCCTTCGGTATACCTGCATAAGGCTCCTGCAGCAGACGCGTGCCCACCCTAACTGAAGGCGGCCCCCTGAATCTCAATGAGCCCTGAATTCGTCAACTTTTGCAAATCTTGGTGGGTGCCAGACAGTTGCCACGTGAGTTGGTTACATCCGCCTTAACTCGTGAGAATCTGAAATATTCGTGAGCTTTCAGTCCCTTCCAGCAACGTGATGAAAGCAGGGAACACCACACGTTTGTGCCTGGGTGGTTGGGCACGTGTAACCAATTCGGTCCCAGGCCACTGTCTGAACGGGCCTGGGCGCAGACACTTTGGCCCAACATGAATCTACTTGGCACACGTGACGTTGGGCTGGGCTGCAAACGGGCCAGGCCACTTGCATGTAGCAAAGAGCGTGGCACAAGGAGATGTATTCGGGCACTTGTGCAGGCGGCAGCGTTGCTGGGGCAATTGCTCGCGGGCTGTTGCGCTAGCGCTAGTGTCGAGACGCGCACATGCGTTGGTGGAAGGAGGGCGCTGCAAGCTGGCAGCGCCGTAGCCTAGCCCCCATAGCCGGGCTTGGGCTTGGACGAGGTCGGTGGGGGTAAGGCGGTGGTCTTCGGGTTGGGAAAGACGTGGGTGAAGAAGACAAGGGGGAGAGAGAGAGAAAAAGATGAGGGATACAATGTGAGAGCACATATCTGGTCTTGGCGATGGTCTGCATGGTTGACGTCTGCATTTACTTCGGTCGTTGCTGCCAACAGCAACTGGTTGCTTCATCACTTTGTAGTATAGGATAGAGTAGCTGTGTGATCGTAGTCTGGGCGCTGAGCGCCAATAAGAGGGGGAGCTTCGTTCACATTTGTGGTGGTGGCGAGAGTATGCATTTATTGACAATTGAGATCGGTGCTTTGGTTCTCTTTTCAGTTGATGTTTGTGCATCTCTGCTTTCTGGACGACATTCGACTATCTAGCTTTCATTGTGATTTTGCATTCTGGAATTCCGTCATTTCGCTATTGCTCATTGTCCTTGCACTTTTCTATACATTCGTTTTAGTTCATATCATTATAATAAATCGGAGAAGTTCGCCATCTCTGGTACAGGTTTTCTAGTATGAACATTGAATAACCTACGTCAAGACCAGCGCCAAAACAGGAAAATGTTACGATCCTGGCCAATTTCGAAGTACATATTCATCAGAAAGTACAATGTCGTCCAATAGCAAGAAGCAATGAATGAACTTGAAAGGAGAGAGGATAGATGGTTAACGGGTGCATATATTTTCAGGTCTCCTTTCCAGGCAGTTCAACCACTTTAGGTTACTACACCAATTTCAGATTGTGTGTGGATCTATACATGGGGTTGTCTGAAACCGCCTTCAGGCAGTTCAGCCACTTCAGGTTGATACAGCACTTTCAAATTGTCTACAGATCCATTGCAAATGGTGGGATGGGGGTACCTGAAACCCCTTTCAGAAGCTTTAACCACTTCAGCGGTTTCACGTCCCCACCTGAAATTCTTGAAATGACATGAAGTGGTTGAAGCTTCTGAAAGGGGTTTCAGGTACCCCATCCAACCATTTGGATGAGGGTACTTGAAACCCCTTTCAAAAGCTTTAGCCACTTCAGCGGTTTGAGGTTTCCACTTGAAATTCTTGAACTGACCTGAAGTGCCTGAAGCTTCTGAAAGGGGTTTCAGGTACCCCCATCCAACCATTTGGATGGGGGTACCTGAAACCCCTTTCAGAAGCTTCAGCCACTTCAGCGGTTTCAGGTCCCCACCTGAAATTCCTGAAATGACCTGAAGTGGTTGAAGCTTCTGAAAGGGGTTTCAGGTACCCCCATCCAACCATTTGGATGGGGGTACCTGAAACCCCATTCAGAAGCTTCGGCCACCTCAGCGATTTCAGGTCCCCACCTAAAATTCCTGAAATGACCTGAAGTGGCTGAAAAAAAAGGCAGGAAAAAAACAAACAAACATAAAACTTGTCCTTCAAACCACCCGAAACTTCTGAAATGACCTGAAGTGTCTTCAGGCCATTTCAGCGGTTTCAGACCACTTCAGAATCTATTATTCTGAAATTCCAGGTGGTCGTTAACCGCGAGTGCTCCTTAGGTGCCGATTTTTCTTGGCCGCGTGATCTGATCTCACGGTTGCCGTTTACCGTCTTTATTTGCCTTATGCCGAAATTGCTATTTAGTATTTTCTAACCCTTTGGGCTTGTCATGGCCCATTTTCCCTTAGCCTAGGCATCCTCATGCAGTCCGTTATTTCTCGGACTGCAATCATGGTCATTTTCCTAGTCCCACAGCCCCACAACTTGCCCCATACTAAAAGAAAATGAAGCGTTTAATTCTCAAGTGCATCCGGGCTCAATATTGGCTCCGGATGCACGTAAAACATGTGTTTTTCCTTCCCCATGCAGTCCGTTGCAACTCCGACTGCAATGGGGGTTAATTTCCTAGCCCCAATGCCCCACAACTAGCCCTTAACTGAAAGAAAAGAAAACGACCAACTTCCAAGTGCATTGGGCTCAATGTTGGCTCCGGATGCACCTAAAACATGTGTTTCTCCTTCCCCATGTAATCCATTGTATTTCGGTTGCATGGGACCTTAATTTTTTTTTTTTTCCTCTGCAAAATCAAGAGAAAATCAAGATCCTTTGTAGCCGCCACATCCAGAATGTATATGGTAATGGATACACCTTCCCAAGTGATCGTTTTTTGTCGTTAGTGCCCTCTTGTCTTTTTTTTTTTTTTTTTTTTTTTTTTTTTTTTCCCCTCCACTTGTAGACAGTAGGAACCTGCCAGTCCCTACTTGTGGCTATCCCTACAGACGACCAACTCACTCACTCACTCTCACTCCTTTTGTCTTATTCTCCCTCCTTTTTTTTTCTTTTTTTTTTTGCATGCGAAGTGTCAACTAACCGTTAAGGCCCTTTTCTAGGCTCTTCCTCTAGTTTTGGCCCTTTCTATGCTCAAGGGGCAGTCCGTCATTTCTCGGATTGCAACTGTGGCCTTCTCATGCCAACGAGAGTCTCCGTTTGCCTCTATTTCTTTCAAGCGGGGTGAACCCCCATACTTCGATTTTCTCCCGAAGGCCTATTTTCCACGGAGTCTCTTTAGACTCCATTTTCTTGGGGGAAGCCAATCCGAGATATTTCGGATTGCTTCCATGCCTCCCTCTACATGTTTCTTTACTTTTTATTTTCCTTTTGGCCTTCCGTCTTGCTGCCATCTCGACGACCAGAAATATTAGCACCACTAGTTTGGTCGTCGAGATCTTGATCTTGACGGTGCATCTTGTTTTAATTGTTTTCCCCTTGTGTCGCTCCACCGTTTCTCTTGAGGCCTTCTCATGTCCCCGCCACTTGTCCTGCCGGTGGTCCCGACACTTTGTCCCGCCGGTGGTCCCCGACACTTTGTCCCGTCGGTGGTCCCCGATAGTTTGTCCCGTTGGTGGTCCCCGACATATTTTGTTTTGGACACCATTATTTTTACTTAGTCCCGCGTGGCCCTAGGCACCTCTCCTCAAGGTGCCCCATGTTCCTTTGGCGTCTACCGCCTTATGGTGCCCCCTCTCGCTTGTCTTTCCTTGGTTTTCTGCGCGTCGATCTCTCCAGTCGCGGGGCCTCCAATCCGCGGCTTCTGCCAACTGTCGTGGGTGGCCCCCACGTTGGCCCCTTATTTTCTAGCGTTCCACGGTCACCGGGCCCGTCCACCTTCCGGCGGCCTTATTCTCTCGTTGTCCGCCGCATCGCATTTTGCAAGTTGACGACCCCTTGGCCTTAGTCATGCCGAATTCCAGTTGCCCATCCTGGCCTCACACTATGCCCCTATGTGCCCATGTTCTCGCGCTTACTTGCTTGCCGTCACCGGTTTTTTCCCCCTGCGGTTCTTAACCTTCCGGCGGCCTAGTCCTTTGTATTTTTTCTCTCTTGTCTCCTTACTCCAAATTTCTCTGTCGTGCACAAATCGGCTATATACAAGCTCTCGAGTGACGGGATGTCATTCGGGACCCACCGGTCTCGACAACGGCGCGTGCTCTTTTTCGACGGAGTAACCCGGACGATCGTTCTCTTCTCCTCGGCGACCTTCTTCAGCGGCAGCGACGGGGATGACAATGACGTGGCACACTCTCCTACAACGACGCTCCTCCTTCCCTCTACAGGAGTGGTGATGTGGCACCTCCTTCACGACGACGATGACCACCCCTATCGCGATGCTGACGTGGCGATGGCGACAATGACTCCAGCGAGCGGGGCAGTGGGAACCAACTCTGATACCAATGCAATCAGACTTGTCGACTTCGGCATTCAACATGCATACGAACCGATGACGATCAAGCTAGCGACTCGTGGCCACACAAAGCTCAGAGATAACCAAGCCACAAACACAACTCAAATTCAAACTTGTCTCGTTTTGCTATGATCGAACAATGCACTCGCAGTAGCTCGTTCGTACACACACCCGGGATCTCCCTTGACGTCTCGCACACACGTACACTACACACTCATACACACACATTAACACTCACTCCTACACACACTAACACCTACGCATTCTTTGACGTGGCGGCTATGGACGTCATCTTTCTCCTCCCTACTATCAAGCTCGACTATGGCCAACTTCTTCCTCTTAGCCCTCTTCTCTAGGGCACCTGCAGACGTTCGTACACAAAACACTTCAACAGCGCTTCCGCATGGCTCACAGGAAGAATAAATGTACGACTTGACGCTGCCTCTTGATTTATACTTCGGATTGTCAGAGGTCTGCCTTGGACCCTGGGCCCAGGGTGCACAATGT